ATAGGAAAAGCAGAGATTTTGTCGAAAACAAATTTAAATGAGTTTTTAGACCCACTTAACTTCTTTTTAAAACCTATATTTTGACGCTTCTTTATTTTTTAATATTTAAATTTCATTTATTTCTATTTACTTTTGAATTAATTATCAATAAACAGCGGAGATAATTAATGTTTTTTTTGCATTTGCCGCTGTTACTTGTCAGAAAGTTTTACTAACCGTTGAAATCGCTCTTAAACAACCGAAACTACTTTTGTTTTACGACTCTCTCGATTTAAAAGCTTTAATTGTTCTGTGCAAACATTTAGGAGAAGGACTTTATAAAAATCGTTATTGTCATTTCTATTTGCGATGGGGTGGCGATCACCGGAACGCTTAACTACTGGATCAGCCAGTGAATACAAGTTGAAGTTGGTTTTTAACATTTTTCGAAATACAAATTAGCCTATAGCGACATCTAATTTTCCAAATGGACTAGGATACTATTTTCAAGTAGACTTTGATCATGCAAAACAATGTTAGTCTGAGAGATCAATAGATTAAATTTGCAGCTTTGATAAAGAATATCGCATATTTTGTATGTTACAGTCAAGTTGACATTGTTTATTATAATTTTTAAAAAATCTAGTCATTTCTTGTTTAAAATAACTCTAGGGAGATATAACGTATTCTATCAGATACTTTTTCATACTTGTCAAGTAATTAAAAGCTAAAAAACACAAACATGCAAGATATCTCACAAAAACGATGATCAATTAACATATTCGAGTAACTCCACTATTGAGCCAGTTTTAATCACAAGGAAATCTTTTTTCAAAGACTGAAATAAGCTTTTATTCTTAAAGAAAAAGTTCATTAAAACTAAACAAGTAGCACTTTTGGCTACAATAAAAAACTAGGCCTTTTTTTCAATGTCAAAACCGATATGTACTGTTATTTTCGAAATTTACTCGAATTTTTATCATTAATTGTTTTCATAAGATCATTCAAAATCTTTCATCGTGACTTGGAAAACACTAATCTGATGAAAAGAAAGAAAAAGGCCTAACACATTCGTTTGTAAAGTTGTTAGAGCTTTTGAAGAATCACGAGCAACCTTCTTTGAAGAAAAAACACTAACTAGTTGATCCTTTTAAAATATGTCATACAAATAACTAAAGAGCAATAAAAGAAGATCTAAATGATCTAAAGATCATCATAATGATAGAAGAAATTCCAGTAAATTTCGTCAACAACAATACATATCGTTTTTGGCATTGAAAAACGCTTTATTTTTGTATTGTCTTTATGAATAGAACTCTGATAGTCTTCTTTTTTATTTGAAAAAGAAGATTTTTGATTAAACTTGCTCAGTTTAGTAATGAAAACTTTTGGAACATCCTGTAGATTAAGTTTTGTTTCATAGAAAGTCTTAGATCATTTATTTCAATAGTTCTATTCCCGAACATATCAACATTGTAAAATGGTTCTCATTTTATCTAATGAATAAAAAATGTAGACATTTATTTAAAAAATCTTTCTCATTTAGTTATGATGAAAACGAGTTGAAACCGACCGATCAAGGCCAGATGCGATATATATTTATATTAATAATATCATCAAAGCAAACAACTAGTTTTGCTTTTTTTTTCCTCTAATTGCCAAGTTTATATGTAATTAATCAATATAAACCATTTATATGCAATACACAACAAATGAACAAAATATAGTTAAGAGAATATTTTCTATGATTATCTTCTATATCAATATAATCATTTGTTTATCATAGTATGACAACAAATGCTTGCCATTATTCTTTCAACTACCTATGATAAAATCTAAAAGATATGTGTTGTGTTTTTTTAGGTTCCGGCTGTTGCATGTAATAGAAGACTTGTAGGAAAAAAAAAGAAATAAAAAAAAGTAATAGACACATAGTGCCCATCTGGTGGTGTTTCTTCTTTCTCATGCCCGAGAAGAAGAACAAGAAGAAGACGAGGAGAAAAAAGAAAAAAGAAAGAAAATCATCATTCTTTCTTACACCCTTACGTGTTCGCTCGTTCGCTAACAAAAAACGCACAACTATCGCCGGCTGTGTGTATATATGAAGCGCGTACCAATGAATGACGGAAGACAGATGGGGCAACGACGACAACAGCAGAAGTGTGTTACTACTGTTTGTTGTTCATTTGACGTTCTTTATCATTCACAAGAACAGAATAGCTGCATCTGGATTGATTACAATGCCAACAACGAGCAGTTCTCAAGTGGATAAACTCTTTTTTTTCTTAATATTTAACAATAAATGTTTTTTTTTCTTCTATCTAGAAACGTGCTCGAAAATCTATTGCACCTACACGTCCACAAATAGTACCACCACCATCAACAAATACACCTATTGATGGAACAGTATGTCATTTATGTGGCTATTTAGGACGAACAAGATTAATGTCAATTGAAAAAAATGGTTATAGTTTTTTACGTAATTTACCACCAGCACCTGGTGCTTTACCAGTAAATGATAATACACGTCATGTTCGAGCATGTCATTTATGTGCCTTGTTACTCGATAAACAACGAGAACTTAATCATACAACAAATAATTTTTTTTTCAAAGGATTTTTCCGATCAACAGGTTCATGTCATACTAATATTGGATTATCAACGAAAATAATATTAAATCCTACTGATGAAAAAGAACAATCATTAGGTAAACAAAAACAAAAAAGCAAGAAAATTTCAATAAAATATTTAATTCCTTTTAGATAAAGAATCATCAATAGAAGAAACACCTTCATCATCAACTCCACAATCGATTGTTATCGAAACTGATAAATCAACAGAACAACAATCAAGATCAATACCTCCGCCATTACGTAAAACTACTATATCTACTAATAATAAGTAAATAACTTCTTCGATGAAATTTTCATTTTAATTTCATATAGTTTTCGATAAGATAGAGAAACAGAAGTTAATTGATATTTTTTTAAGGGTACTACCTTCCTTTTGTAATCCAAAATTCTTGGTTTTTTTTTTGTGGACATTGTATAATCTGAAGTAGGAGTATATATTTATTGGGTTTGATCTTTGAGATTCAAAGATTGTCTTTAAACGTTAGAAAAATTCGAGAAGAAATTAAATAGAGAATTGTATTGTTCTCAAGTCAAATATTTTTTCATGAATAAAAAGTGCCGAAATGCTCGCCTTGTTCCAGCCTAATATGTCCGATTCAGTTGAATCTTTTTTCACAATATCCTATACATTGTGTGGAATAGGTCTTCGATAATTTAGCTTTTTTATTCGAAAAATAAAAAGATACCTATTCCAAATAAGATCTAGTGCCTGTGAAAAAAATGTTCAGCTTGATTGAACATAACCTCTCACAGAAAACCGGTAGCTATTTTCGTCATTGTAATCTCAGTGTCTCATCGAAGACAACAAAGTATTTCATAAAGTTGACATTCGATAAAAGGCTAATAAAGAAAAATACACTGACTAATTAATTGCATTTTATTTGTTCTCAACGAATATTTCGTTCGTGGAAAAATTTGATATATCAAGATGATTAGTAAAGTTTGAACGCATAATGAATTTTTCAAATCTTTATTTTCTATTTGAGTTCATCGTAAGTCGAATGAATTCCACAGTGTTTTCCAAACTATGTTCAAATTTGTCGATAAGCAAATTCGATTTTGAAATGTATTTATTCGCTTAGTTTTTCGTGTGAAGGAAATTTCGCATAACTAATCCGCATTATTTGCAATAACATGTGTTAGGATGCTTTAAAACTTCAACATAAAAAAAAAAAAACTAATTTCCTTCTCTCTCAAGAATGAAACATGTATTTCGACAAACTATTTCAGTACATTCTAAGAACGATTCAATCTAAGCTTTTGAAATTAACTGTAAAATGAATATACTCTAGACTATCTACAAACTCACTAGGCTCTATCCATTGAATATAGTCACAACTTAAAAGCAATTTACTACTTGAAGACTTTCCCATCGTTAGAATAATATTCCAAGATATGATTAATAACAACATGAATCAATCAGTGACTTTTACGAGTGCACAGGAATCAGATTTCAACGCTATTATTTAATATTCTTCATCTGTTTTTCATTATAGTTCTCTTGATTTTCATATATTCGATGAAATGTCTTCATTAGATTCATATTTAACATCAATTCGTTCACGTTTTTTATCTGATTATGCATCATTAATATCTTCAACAAAACAAAATCCATATGATTCATGTCATTTATGTTTATCAATAAAACCTCATGGTACACTTTATACTATATTCAAAAGTCAATTTGAATTTCTTACATTAACACAAATTGATGTATGCACATTATGTTATTATAATTTAATGGATCAATATAGAAAACAAATAAGAACTTATCGTCGACCACGACCACAATGTTATATATGTCGTTGTCGTATAAATTTTATTGATTGGGAAATAAAATTATTAGAAACAGAATATTTTCCATTTTTATTAACTTTATATAATGAAAAAAATCTTCATGAACAATTATATGATAATCAACGTTTAGCACTTTCATGTGATCAATGTTTTTATAGATTACTTTTTCAATGTATTGATCAACAACGACAAAATATTCCAATTCAACAACGAACTTATTCATGGCAATGTACATATTCATATGAAAATGAATATTATCTTGATACAAATGATTTTTTTTATACATCTTTATCATCGAAATAAAAAAAAGAAACGAACAAATCCACATTGAAAATTTAAATATATGTTTAAGAAGAATTTTACAAATAATGTGAGAATAGGTTTATGTTGTTGTTATTGTTTTTTTCTTTTTGTGATTGACTAGTTGAACTTGCTGAATAATTTAGATTTTATTTCATACAATACTCGTTTTTGATTGTGAAAGACGAGAATACATATTATTGTCATTTACAATTGACATTTGATTTTCATTTATGGATCCATCAGTAATAATAGATGATTGATGTTCATCTTCATTTTCATCAATATGAAATAATTCATCTGTTTCATCAAACATTGGTGCTGGTCGTCGTCCAACAACTAAAATTAAATCATCGGATGATGATGATAATAATGGTACAACTTGATTACATTCCATACGTGTTACATCAGTATTATTTACCTAAATAAATAAAAGAATTATTTTGTTTCATTTTATTTTTCTATGAAAATACTTTATAAATTCTCATGCATGGTATTAATGTTCCTTCTAATTCAGCTGGTCCATTTGGTCGAATTTTATTTATATAGACACCTGTACCATACAGACGATCAGATATTGAAAAGCCAAAATCTAGTACACGTTTATCACGTTTAAGTACAACTGTTATTGTATCATTTGCTAAACGATCTCTTGTAAAATTATCATATTTTGTATCATAAATATTTGTTCCGATTGGTTTATCATTCAGAATACATGCACTTTGTCGTTCATGATCCGAATGACGTGACGGTGGTTCGCGTAGTCGACCATTAGATGGTGGTGTTCGATAACCAGACACCGGTGGAAAGATTACCATTGGACGATTACCATTTAGTGTTGTTATCGGTATCGAATGTATTTGATGTTTAAGTAGAAAATCACCTGGAACACAAATGTATAAACCATAGTTTATATAATTACAATATCAAACTCTACAACTCTGATATAATTTGGTAGATAAGTATTCTATCCAGATTTTCTTTTTGGGGAAGGACGAGTTAAAAATCTGGGAGAGTGTGAACATCTGGTTTTTGGAGCAAGGACATAGTAATATAAATCCTGAACTAGATACAACAAAGCTTTCATAAACTCTCTTTAACTTACTATCATTTCCATTTGAATGAGGTATTTGATAATGTTGATGATCATTAACAATAATTTCTTTTGTTGTTCCTTCACTATTATCACTAAGTCTATTATCTGTATGTGAACTATCCCAAGATTCCATAGCTGAATCAACAGATGGCGTATAATCTTCTAGATTATAAAAAATAAACAAAGAAATTCAATAATAATTATTATTTTATACTTTGTTGTTGATGAACTAATCGAGATATTTTTAATGTTATTTCATCACCACTTGTTTGTAATAATTTAATTGCTTCATTAAGACCTTTACCACGTAGACTAACATCATTTATTGCTAATATTCGATCACCAATATGAATTGCATTTGTTCTATATTAATTCAAATTTTAGAAAAAAAAAAGAAAACAACTGCTAGCACAATCCTTGTGGGATTAAAATATGAAACATGATGTAATAAATATTGCTTTATCACCGGAAGGTTTTTTTATTCTATCTATTTTAGGATACTTTTCTTCAAAATCTCTAATAGAAAAAGCTCACATTACTATTATTCTTTTCTATACAAAATTCATCTAATACTAACGCTTATTTCTTTTTCGAAAAGTGTTTAGAGAATAGGTCATAAATTCGTCATACCGCTGAGCGCTATTAGTTCTTCATTTACTTTATTTGGATATACAAAAGTTTTTCTCTATGATTAACAAGCGCTAGTACATTATGTTTCACATTTTAATCCTACATGATCTACGCTACCAGTTTGCTCTGTTCAAATCACTATTTAGACTCTTTCTAACGTTTACAACCGTGGAAAAAATTGAAAACAAATCTTATTCAATAAATATCTTCTTGTATATAAAACTTACTTATCAGCTAATCCACCTTCACATAAATCCGAAACAATAATTGGTTCAAATACATCTTCACTGCCTGCTATTGTTAAACCAAGTGGACCACTAAAACATAAAATAGTTGTGACTATATTGTATTTCTTTTCTTTTTGATTACCCTTGTCGGTGTAATTGTACTTTATAAACAACAACATTTTCACAAAGATTATCTTGTGAATAGATATCATCTTTTTTTATTCTTAATCGTACGATATCATCACAATTTTTTAGTAATGATGAAATTTCATTTAAAATTTTTCCACGTAATGAATGCATATCAATAGATAGAAGATGATCACCTGCTTGAATCATTCCACAACGATAAGCTACACTACCACGTTTAACATCACTTATGATTGGAATTTCATCAATTTGAGATGAACGAGAGTCTTTTCAATAAAAACAAAAATCAACAACTTACTAGGGAACATTCCCAGGTGTCGGAATGCTTTCCAGTCGAGACTTAGAGCATCTTGTAGATCTTAGTGAGCTGTGTCTACAGTAAAAAGAGTTTGGGTTTCTGGTTTGTTTCTGAGAAGATCGAACATATTTAGTGAATTTCCACTGTAGGGCCTGAAATTTGCAACAAGGCCAGATTGTCGAATTTTGATCTGAAACTTTGGCCACATAAAGATGTCATCTAGACTAGTTTTCATAAAAAGTTTCAGAACTTTTGGGCTACGTCTCTCTGAGATATGAAGCCTTCAAAAATTACATACCATATATATTACCTATCAAAAACGCCTTATACCTTGAGGACTTCATATNTACTCTGATCAATGTTCAATGCTTGCTCTTTCTCTTTCTCTCGTTATAATATCTATTCTTGTCCTCTCTCGTTCTACGCTGGGTATATAAAGAGTAGACAAGAGAGAATAAAGGCATTCTGGTGTGGAATAAACATTAAAATCGTTACAGTGAGCTGCATAAAGCTAAGGCAAGAACCGCAACAATGAACTTGTTCTAAGAGTAACTAATATGTAGGTTAGTGTGTGCTAAGCGGAGGCTGAAATAGTCAAATATTAATCATATTACATTTGAATGTTTCTTATTGACATAATAAGCAAACGCGTCTCTCGGTGAATAAATTTTCGACTGAACAAACAATACATAAAAAATTAGAAAGCAATAAAAAAATGATTTAGCAGAAAGTTTGTGTTTATGGATAGCAGCTTCGAAAGGACAAGTAGCTATAAGGCCATCTTTCACTCTTCCATGTCTTCGATAAAAATTATATGTCTATACAATCAACAATAGATTCTGAATATAGTACACTATTTTATCTTTTGCCCATGTCAAGAAAATTTTTAACTCTAACCTTTAGGGACCTTCAAAAAAAAATTGTTTTCGTAAACTTTTTCATGATCTATAGGTTTATTGACACTTGATTAAGTTAAATAATTTTATTCATCAAAAGATTTTTTTGACTCCAAATCAGTTACAAATTAAAAAGAGCTCACAGTAATGCATTTCAAAAACTAATTCATTATGAGCGTTTTTTGACCTCCTACAGTAGTTTAAATCAAAACAATTATGATATTCCTAATCAATAGTGTCAATGACCTATAGATCATAAAAACGTTTACGAATAAAATATTTTTTTGAAGGTTCCAAAGATCAGAGACAAAAATTGTCTTGACATGGACAAAAGATAAAATAATTACTATATTCAGAATCAATTGCTGATTGCATAAACATATTATTTTTATTCAAAACATGAAGAAATGAAAAGTAACCTTATAGCTACTTGTCTTACATTAAAAAATCCAAATTTACCATGGACATATTTGAGAAGAGTGTTTAACGATTTTGGTCACTGATTTGGCTGAGGAAGAACAGATTGGATTAGCTGAAGGATATTTCACGAGTATGTTTTGCAAAAGGTTGGCTTGTCGAACAACAGTAATGAGAGATGTACAAAATTCATCAATTGATATGTTTGTATATGAATACAATGCTAAAGAATCTTTTTCATCTTTTGTTGAGAACAGTTCCTTTGATAAAAACAAAGTTTCATCGGGTACATTAACATCAGAATCATCAGCTGGTGTTTTCTCATCTAAATCTTCAGATAAAAGTGTGCCAAAGTCAATGTCGGAATAATCATGAAACGCATCTCTTCTCTCTGATGAGCTTTGTACCTCCCTAGTTGAAGAGGCACAATCGACAACATTTGTGGGTTTCATAATAACATAGGGGGATAGTTCTTCCACTAGATTTATGCTTGTTTGTTTACGTACAAGGCTATTTATTAATGAACGCCGTTGCTTATGACAATTTTCGGCCTTCTTCATTGCCAACAATAACTATTCATCCATTCAATATAGATTAATAAATTTTAAACACTACAAAAGTGGAAAAGAAAACACTACCTTGTTAAAAATATACTACCAACACTACGATTAACGTTCACTAGATCAAAAATTAGAGGAGTTTTTCAAAAGTTTTACACAAACAGCACTTGAACTGCACCTACACGTTTTGAAATATTTGAGTTTAACTGTCTGTTCAAGATCAATTTGAAATAAAAGCATTTACTTTTTTTTTGTTTTAATCTTTTAAATCAAATGCGTATCAGAATCTGAAGTGCAGTGTCGGACGAATAGGTATCACCGTAACACAGCGAGCGACATAGTTCGATGAGCTCTAAGAGATGTTGTTTCCGTAGAATTAACGGGAAAGCCACCAGGCAAGCTAGAGAAAATCAATTCTTCCAGAACAACCTTGAGCTCCCTAGTTATTTTGATTTTAATTTTTAATTTTGTTTTCCCTATCAGAGATTTTCAGAATCTTTGCTGTACGTTTCCGTAATGATTTGTTTAATCAAGGTGATTGTATAATAAAGCAGGTGCCAAATTACCAATCAAGCGTATCAAAAGATTTTATATGAATTATATGAGCATGAGAATCATCATAGTACCCTGATTACTTTTCACAAGTGTATTTTATGCCTTATCACAGTTCAATTTTTCATATCTATGTTCTCTCTCAAATATCGAACAACATTTTTTATCGATGCTCGTTTAGTTATATTCATATTTCGATCGGTTTAAGTGTGCTGATTAGAAACATTACATCTTTTTTTCAAAATTATTCAGATAATAAGAAACATTTGAAGACCTTTTTGAAAGCTCTGAAAAGCTATTTTTTAACCTAAAAGTCCCTTAAATTCCGATTTAGATTCATGTAAAATAAGTTCTTTTGATGCAGAATTTCTTTCTCTATCGGAGCATATAAGAACTTCTTAGACACTCGAAATTTTTCCTATCGATGAACACCAAACACTTCCCAGATTGAGTCACATTATTACAAATCATTTAGTTCTTTGAAGCTTATAAGGTTACTGTATCTATAAGTGTACCATAGGCATGGACAAAATCGATTTTTTTGGAATCGGAATATTATCTGATTTGGCTATTATAAATTTTTATCAGATTGAAATCGTTTGTACCAAATATGTATCTTTCCATTGAAATTTAGCTTTTAAAAAAATATACTTCCCTCTCTAAATATTGTCCAGGTCACGTTTTGAGAGGTCCATTTAACTCCTGGTCACAGAATGAAGAAGGCTATTATTGTATTTCACGAAAATGCTTACGATTCTAATATTATTGTAGTTTGGAACTGGATTCAGATCGAAATCGCCGGTTTTTATTCTAATTCGAGGTCGATCGCTCATCCCTAGTGCACTAGCAAGATGTTTTTACCTTATATGTCATCCAATGCGCTCTTTCTGATGGCGCTATTTTCGATTTGAAATATGATGGTTACTAAAGCACTTCTTGTCGAATCATTATATTACTTCAGAGCTAATTTTTTCTGAACTGATATTCAACGATTTTCAAACATCAGGAATCTCGTATGATTTGAAGTCAAAGTCATGCGTGAAATCAGCACAAAAACCCGAGCCGGGTGTGGGTGTGGGTGTGGGTGTGGGTGTGTGGGTGTGAGTGTGAGTGTGGGTGTGGGTGTAGGGTGTGTGGGTGTGGGTGTGTGGTGTGGACGTGGGTTTAGATGAAGACAGTGACACCGACACTCACACCCAGCCACACCCACTCCCAGCCGCACTCTCACTCAGTCCTCTATTGAACGCTACGAAGCGAATTTTCTTTGAAGAAAAAGGTAGTGAAATAAGTTTTCTAACAAGAGATGTAGTTTAGTTGCATTCTGATATTCAATGCTAGTCTAACTTAGAATTAGTTTTAGAAGAATTTGATTCTGATTTTGCCTACGAAAGATTTGTACCGCCATCTTTATGACCAAAAACAATGCGATGAGCAATTCTTTTGTAAAACCATTTCATATAATTTCCACAACCATGACAATACCTGAGTTTTCTTAATTCCGATGCTCTTTGAAGATGAATTTGGTACGAGATGTTGTAACAAAGAAATCCATTTTTCATCATTCGAAGAGTAAACGATGCAAAATACTTTTTAAAGAAACGTGTTTCGCGTTTTCCCCCTAACTGTGACTCTCTAAAATGCGTTTCTTGTAGACCGATATGAGTTTAACAGCGTTTTGCTTCGGAAACGCTTCGAAACGTAATCTCAAAAAAAGCGTTTCGGATCGTTTCAAAAATGAAGGCGGCCAACCGTGTTCTATCTAAGTAAAAATACTGCAAAATGCACTCCCTCTCGAAAAAACGCAGCAAAACGCATATCGAATCTCGGAAACGCGTTCTGCAGTGCGTTTCCTCAAATATTTTACGCCATGGGAAGTTGTTGTATAATTTCAAAAAGAGTGCTGCAATACTAAATCAATTGTTGAAATCGTCATTGGTGCGAAATCCAAGAAATCGTAGCGTTTAATTCTTTAAGGTAATAGAAGAGAAGAAAGGAAATCATTGTATATTTCGATGAGATGAGCTCTATCTGGTTCACTGATGAGCGTTTTAATAGCAGGTAGAACAGTAAAACGGGCATATAAGGCAGCTTCCCCACGATTCTCACGTAATGGGTTAGGGTCTACATAGTTGTTGAGACCAGCTATGATGCCAGCAAGTTGTTCAGCATCTGGTCCAGTTGGCCGGAAGGATTCAGGTGGAAGATTAAGAGTACTGATTTCTAATACACTTACGAGCTCCCAATCACGATAAAGCGCAAGTGTAGATTCTTGAATTCCAGTGCCAGTGACAGGTTGACCACGAAAAGTACCGACAAAATGTGAAGGTCCTTCAAAGTACTCAATTGGTAAGTCAATAGCTGGAGCCTTAGTGGAGTAGGTGGAGATTAGTTGCAGGCCAAATGATGGACATTTAACGACAGTAATACTGGGCATCCAACGGTTTGATGAAAGTGGAGGAATAAGAACTTTGGATGTGTTAGGATATTTGGTAAAGGAAACGAATTTAACACTAACATCGGTTGCGAACTGATTGATGATAGTAGCGTTGGGTTCATAAGTCGTAATACCAATTGTTGGTACGATTGCATTGGCCTCGTATCTGCGATACTGTATCCAAATTGACAGGTCGATATTATTGACTAAGTTTACTTGATACCATATATGAGATAATTGACGACCTGTTGGAGACTTGACACCAGAGTATAGTGGAAAGTATTGACGATCAATATGTCCAGCGGATATGGACAAAAATGACATGATACAATCTGTTTGCGGTTCTATTTATGGATAATTGTTTGGTACGTTATATCAGAATAACTGACTATTGCCAATGACAGATTCACTTGCGTTTCTCCAAACAATAGTACCATTGAATTGAAGGCCAGTCTCGAACCATGACAATGTATTAGGCTGATCGTAGAAAGTAAATGTGCCGTTCAATATACGACCGCCATAGGGAGATGGATATTTTATTGGATTGATTGTTAGATCAATTAAGAAGCTATGACCTTGTTTGTCAACTCCTGGCAAATAGACTTAATACAGAAATGGTATAGACGACCCATTTTTGAATTTTGTATGAGCCCATGTAGCTTTGCCGTGTTTCGATTCGAATGAAAGACTGAGCTCTTGGTCTGAGCACTGTAACTTTGATACAGATCGATTGAAAATAGAGATATCATACTCTGTATAACTACTATAGACTCCAGTATCGATACTAAAGATAGAAGCCTGATAAAAATTGAAAGCAACATCTGTAACAAGATTATGATCAAAGATGGTAGCAAAATGATAAGTTTTGTTAGACTGAAGTCCTCGCAATTCACCCGTCACAAACCACGAATCACCATGGTACTGCGAGTGGAATGCCTCGGCCGCAGGAAAAGTCATGTTAGAATCATTGGAAATCATTTCATATGGCCATACTTTCCATGACAACTCTGTTCGAATACATTGCATGCAGATCAACAATAGTATCAAGCAAAAGACACATGGAGAAAATATTAATATCGTCATCACACTGTTTATAAAATATTCAAAATAATAATACAGTAGTAGTTCAAGATGTTACGGATTACGAGCACAATTAGTGTCTATCTAGCAGCGAGAGTAGACTGACTTATTGGAGTGATCGCAATGAGTATTTGTATTGACGTATGTGAGACACATTTAATGTTGAATTTTCTTATCACTTCTTCCTCGTTTGGTCTAAAAATATCGATAACCATACAGAAAATATTTATTAGACGCAGACAGGTTCATTTTAAAAATAAATGAACTGAGGATGAGGACATGACATCTTTTCTTTGTTGTCATATAATGCGATCGTCATTCGTCGGTTACAATTAACGACTCTAGTTGTATAAGCATATATATTCAAAAGCTTAGAGCAGAGTTTGATCATATCCGTCAGTAATTAAAACCTCCTCACTTTATACGATCACATTTTCCTCGAAAAAAAGCTTGTTAGCGCACTCCTTTGGGGCTAAAATGTAGAACTCATATATGCTGTAACTGCTAGTATATGATTTAGTACATTGCCTTATGTAATGAAACATGTTTTGAAGTTTGAATGCATTGAAATGAAATAGTAAAAGATTATTATAAAGAAAATTTTATTTGCTAATTCAAAGTTGCTAAGAAAATATCAAATTTTGTCTGAAAATCAATTTCGATGTCGTTGGGTTTGTTTAGAATTTTTATAATCATTGAAGGGGTGTCTGTAATGGGGGAGGAGATATGTAATAGAGATGTCTGTAAGGAGAAGATGGAAGAGCCGAAAACCTTCGGCTTAAAACTGACACTCACTATTTTCTCCGAAAACATATGTGAGTTCCACAAAAATCCTTCTAGACGATTCTATCGCCAGACAAAATGCGTTCATTATCTTTCTTACTTGCTGCTATTTCATTTTGTCCTCTCTTTGTTAAAACAGTGGAGAGAAAAAAATGTGGAGCTTTTATCTAACTTTCATTATCTCTACAGTCACAAGTTGTCATTCAAGAGGTCGCATATTATTACACAACTTTGAAGTACGAGAAAAATGACATACTTCGAACCCCTAACTATCATACTTCTTTGTGGCTATCAGGCTAACTGGATGAAAATAAATCTCCAGTTTTAGTTAATATTTAAAAAAATGATATGATCAGAACTAGGAAGACTACACTATTATTACTTTTATTACATATTACTTTTAGTAGTACTTTTATTTTAATTCATTATTTTGATGATATAATAACCGCTATTTTCATTTATCAACAAAATATAGATTTGTTTTATGTGAAGCCATTACTAATTACTTTCATTTCTTTTAAAGTTCATTACTTTATTACTCCTGTAACAATGTAATAGTACACCAATAAGTACAGTATGTAAGGTGAGACACATTATCGCACATTAATGTAATTGATAGATCAAATAGCATATCGACCCGTAATCGCTAGGTATTTTAAGTGACAATATAAAAAACGATAGTAGCCATTCTATTCATGGATCCCGTTTCAACGTTTTTTATGATTAGTCTCGTTTTTGTTCATTGCATTGATCATTAATGCTATTTTGACTAAAATATGGAAATAAGGTCTACCGTTAAGCATATTGAACATGATAATGTCTTGGTTAAAAGATAGGAGGGCATTCGTGGTATTCGGAGAGAAGTCATCAGAAACCTTTAATACAAACATTGGTCTACTTCAAGGTAGTAGTCTGAGCTCATACCTATATATTGTGTTTCATTGCGATTTGGTTCAATGACTCAGAGCACATTCAGGTAATATTTTTGCGGATGATCTTTGTGTTATTATAAAACCTCCTATCAGCTTAAAACTAGAGCCTATGATCAATTATTTAGAGTACGAAGGTACTCGAGTGGGGTGGGTGTGGGTTAAGAAAAGAACAACACTCACACACCCACACCCTCTGAGGGCACCACATTGGGCGTATGTAGACTGGATAGTGGAAGTGATCCAGCAATTGGTGCTCTTCGAGACTTTTTCACTGAGTATGTGTCATGAGCCTGTACTGAGTAATTGTGTCTAGCTCGTGGTGAGTTTTGCAGCTTCACCAATAGCACCAGAGGACAGTTGCTTTTACAGCGCGACTCAGGTTAGGTGATTGGTTTCCAGAGCCAAACAGAGGAGGTTATTTATGATGATCGCAGTAATCAGAGTGATGTCTTCTGACAATTTTAGACTCTGAATATGATTTTCTGGCTCAACACTTTCAGCTGACTGGAAAGTAGGAATGAAAAAGACGAAACCGGGAGTCGCTTCGATTTTGCGTGAAAAAGAGAATCGTGTTTTGCATGGTAATGGTGCTTAGAAATGAACTGTACAAGCTGTAAATAAGTAGCTGCAGTTTCTCAGAATCCACGTTTCTTCTGTTGACGAAAACGATTTTCTATTATTGAGAGCAAAAAGGATTAAACGTACTTTTGTACTTGATGGTACTTTCACGTTCTCGTTCGATTCGGTTTATGCTCATAGTTCTTGATTCCTCTTGGTACTTCTTCATATTTTTCTTTACTTCAAAACTCATTCAAAGTTTTTTAACGGTTTTCACTGCAAATGGATACTAGTATTATACCATCAGTTTTTTATGGATATAGTTTCAAAACGCTTTAAGCATATTCGTGATGAAGAATTATAAAGAAAAAAAAGAGAAAACACCATGTAACAGTCAGAATGTGCCGTATAGAAGATGTGTTATATTGTGGATCAAGCGTTTCATGATAGCGAATTTTCACTTTGTGTCTCAGGATCACCAATGACTCACTTGATTATTCCACATTAGTTTACTTTCTATAATAGCTCAATTGGACCTTTCATACTCCATGTCACCTATCAAAGTGGATGAAGAATATCCATCACCTTTTTGATGGAAAACTCTAGAGCTCAATAGAGCTGAAGGTGCTGTTTTCAAAAATGATATCTTTATTTGTAGTGAGTAAGACGGTAAGAAAGACGCGAAGCAGTCTTCGAAGGCCTCAAAAAACACGTATTGACCTGAACACTGAAATCCGATTTGGATTCGTTGAAAAACGTTTTATACCGTACAGAGTGTTTCTTTTTGTAGAGATCAGTAGGAAGGTCCTGGATATTGAAAGCCTTCTCTGTAGATGTATTCAACAAGTGTTCTACTAGGGTGAAACTTTTACGCATAATGATTTTTACAATGGACAATAGTTACAGTTTGTGCGCGTGTTCCAGCGAGATTTTTTATTCAAACATGTGGTTCGATATGATTTTTCTGATCATACCATACCATTTGTAACTTAAAAATTGATGCTCGATGAATCGCTTTTATCTCAACTCTCATACTTGTCAGCCAATTTTACTTTGCTTTTGAATTATAAAGACCAGTTTTGGTAGAAAAAACATTGTTTGAGTTCGAAAGAAAGTAATATTCGTAAATGAATTCGAAACTAGAACTCTTGATGTCTTGTAAATTATTTCCTCGAGTTTTGGCTTCAGTTACATGTCCAAGCTTGGCCCTCAGAAATATCTGCATAAATGAATTTCAACCAAAAACTATTTTGACGGTCTAATTACTATTTGGGACATAAACAACGACACTCTGATACCCTTCGAAAAAGAATCGGTATTTCATCTGACAGCACATTACCGAATCCCAGCACCTTTACACCATAAAACTTCACCCAAACTGTGAACGAAGTATTGATGATTCATAAGCACTTTCGGATTTTAAAGTGATAGACCTGTAGGGCGTTCCTATAATCCGACCTACTACTCTTAATAACCGCCAACATCTACCGCATCTTTCTTTATACTATCGTGCTTCGCGTTTCCACCTGTCTCATCACTTTCGGAGATTTCACTAACACATTTGATCCCGTAATCGTGTTACAAACAGAATACCATCGACATTGATGGTTCCCTACGAACAAATATCCCGTCATCAACAACGCACCAACCCTTTCAATAATTTCGTACACAATGCGCCGATAACTACAGGACCACACACCTAAAAGACGACTCTTGCCGAAGCACTTTGCTACCCAAGCATACTTCGGCATATTAGTCTTTCAGAATTCATGGATGCATCTTCGAGCGTTATACCAGTACCAAGAGTACGCCGCTATAGCGGCACTTGAGAACCAGAAGGCATCCCCATCTTGTGCAACTTGAGAACCCAATAGTATCCCCTAATAGTAGGACTTGAGGACCCAAGGGTAACCCATAATGGTAGGACTTGGCGACCCAAGAGTGCCCCGGTAGCAGGACTTGAGGACCTTG